TCCTGTTCTTTTTGAATCATCTGGAGTTCTCTGAGCTTCTCTACTTCAGCCTTTTTCTCTTCAATTTGCACTGCAAAAATAACATTCATGTGATATATATATATAGCCAGAGAGAGAGAGAGAGAGAGAGAGAGAGAGAGAGAAGTTCCATATGATTACCACGGCGCAGATTGGATTTGTCTGTGATACTATCTAACCTTTGTTTCAAGACACTCCTCTCAAGTCGCAACATCTTCACATGGTGTTTTGAATGTACTATTTGAGGAGAGACAAGGGATATGTGAGCCTGCATTTATGGTACACAATATATGGTGTTCAATGATCCATAGATTTTGCATATCTAGGTGTTAAATTGTATTGAGAGAGAGAAAGAGAGAGAGTGTTTGATTGTTACCTCTAGATCCTTCACCTTTTTTTCCAACTCATAAATGTATTGAGTCTTTCTCAATCTGGATCTCTGGGCAGAAAGTCTGTTTGATATCGTCCTACAACAAAAATACAAAAAAAATTGTAAGCTCATAAAAAACAGTATGCTATCGCTCATAAGAAAAGAACAAAAAAGAAAAACAGAAAAGAAGAGACAAGCAATGTGTATCCAGTACCGTCTGAGCTTCTTTGGGTCCATGTTAGGGTCTATGTAGCGACCATGTTTCAATTCAAACTCAATTGCTTCCTCCAGTTTGACAGAGGTACCACCCTTAGTTGCACTTGCACCAGCACTTGGATTGTCATCAGAGGGTGGAGATTGAATCAGGGTCTCGATTTTCTCATCATCCTCTGATCTAGGACTGCTCTTGACTTCAAGATGTTCCAGATTTGACTTGGGTCCACCTCTGGTGGCCCCACTATTGTTCATGGAGTAGAGTTTCTTCTTCTCTTCAATTGAACCAGTGGACAGTTTAATAATAGTTGAAGGAGACGTCATGGGGTATGGCTTGGAAGCAATGGATGGCTTCTGAGGGCACGAAGGGATTCCCATGGAAATCTCTGTGGTTATGTACTCCATTTCTTCAACACTGATCACCTGCAAAACAACCAAACAAAAATCCATTTTTAGAAAAGAAAGCAAAGACATAAAAAAAAAACAAGGAAAGAAAACCCCTGAAAAATAAATGGAGTTTTTAGAGCATGCACTAACCCAAAAAAGGTGTTTAATTTGTGAGAGATTGGAAGGCCGACCTGGCCATATATATATATATACACAAATTAATACACAAAACATTTACCAAATATGTTTGTTTCGCCGCCTTTTACATGTAATTTTTTGTCCTAATACATATTTATTTCCTTCCATGTTTTAAATTTTAAAATGTGTATGGTGAATTCAAGAGCCCATTTTGAAGTCACACGAATTACCTGAAATACCCTTGATCTGGCTTGGCCTTACCAAAGAACCTGCCCCTTAACTGAAATATAAGCTTGCTGAATATGCTTTGTTTGTTTGGATCATCAAGTAAATTCTTGGGGGTCCTCACAAGATTATCGATATGACCTTAGAAAGTTTGGGCTTATCCCTAGCAACGGTGTCTTATTAGTAATAAAGAGGCTCCAATGTATGGAGTTGGAGGAAAAGCTGTCACTTATGCAACTGGAGAGCATACACAAGGAAGATGCCTGACTCAAGAAACAGATTGGAAGCCAGTTATGGAAGCCTAGTCATGATGGTACAGGCCAATTAACTTATGCCTTCTTGACACTTTAACAAATCGACTGTAATTTTTATCCATTTATTTTTATTTTTGGGACGAAGTTGAGTATCGGAATACTTATATTTATTGTGATTATTAATATACTTTTCTAGTCCGTGGTTTTTTCACATTTAATCGCACGGCATCAAGAGTTGGGTCCGGATAAAAATAATTTTTTTACGTATATAATGCTTATGTATTAAATATACATATATATGCTGAAATGCTTGGGATGTAGAAAAATCAAGTGCTTGGTTATTGAAATACTCGATATAACCTTATAATTCATATTTCTACATCTTAAAATGTGACAATTATTCTCTATGAATTTAGTAACATGGTTTGTTTTTGTTACTATATCTCACCAAAATGAGACACCAATGAAACATCAACGCAGAAAATCATAACCAGAAACATGATTTAGTGAAAAAGTACATGATTTTAAATGTTACAACAACTTTTGTCCTAAAAATTGAAGCAAAATATTAGTCATATTTTTTAGAAGATTAATGCTATTTGGACATAATATTTGATCTTATTTGTTAACATAATTCACTATGACCTTTCGATTGAGTGTGAAAAAACATTAAACATTGGAACTTGCTCTTCATCCAATTATTCTAATGAAGTCATATCATCAAATCAACAAATTATGTCATATTTTTAAATTCAAATAACATTACTCTTATGTAGCATTGCTCTAAAAAGAAAGGTTAGCCAATAAATATGCAATTAAATTATGCATGTGGTAAATTGAAAAAAGTAGCACCCAGAAAAATATTAATCACTGTATATTATAGGATTCATTACAAATTCTTGACATAATTCGTACATTATTACATTAATTTATCAATCAAATATATCAGATCAACCAGTCAGCCTTAGGAGATTTTAGATTTGTTTTGCACAAGATTTAGCATTAGTCCGATAGATTCACGAGAACAAAATTGTTTTTATTAAAACTTATGTTAATATTAATAAAGATTCTCGATTAACTGTTAGTTTTTGATATTAATATAAAACAGAATTTCTAATAATTTACTCCTTCTCAGAAGGTTAACATTTATCAGAGGACTAGTTATTAGTCATGTTTAAAAGCATAAAATAAAAAAAAAATATTTAACAAAAAATATATTTGTATTTACACTTACAATCAAACCGCAAACATAGATGAGAGAGAAAATGAATTTAAACACCAGTTTTATAATGCGAGTAAGCAGTGGTAATGGTGCTAAAAGAAGGTGATGGGGCGACGACAATCGTTGTAGTAGTGGCAGCTGTGAGCGATAGTAATGGTGGTTAGTAGTGATGGTGGTTAGTAGTGGCGGTGGTGGGCGACGGTGGTGGTAAGGTGTGGTGGGGGCGGGTGAAAGTGGCTAGCAACGATGGTGAACTACAAACAAGCGGTGATAGGTTGTGGTAGTAAGTAGTGGTGAGTAATTGTGGATTTTGGCTGTGGCGCGACAGTGATAGTGGGATAATGGAGGTAATGATAAATATAAGAATGAGATGACGATAATAGTGAGTGATGACGATGGACAACGATAGTAACAATCGGTGATTGGTGCCGGTGGACAATAATAGTATCAATTGGTGGTGGGTGACGATGGTAATAGTGGTGGTTTATGGTAGATGGGGTGGTGGGGTGACAACGACAACAATGGTGGTTGTAGTGGTGATGGTGGTAAGGTGGTGGTGGTGGGAGTCGCAGTGGGAGTGGAGGTTGAACTGTTCTAAACACTAATTTTTTTTAAATTACTTATGAAAACTTAAAAGTTGTAGAAGCACTTTTAAAAAGTCATTCCAAAATATATTTAGAAGCCTATTTTTTCCATTTAATTTAGAAAGTTAATATTAATCGTCGGATAATTTTTAAGTAAAAATTAAAATAATTTTAACCGTCAAAAATAAAAGAATATTTTATTTATCTTTTAAAATTTAAATTATATTATAATTTATTATACGAATAAGGTAGGCCAGGCACCCTAACGGTAGGTTTAGGGCCTGTTTGGCGTGGCCTTCCTGTCCCAACCCAATGTGATGGCGACAAGAGGCTACCTCTTCGCTCCAGTTAAGTCCACTAGTCTTGAACTCCAGTTAACCAACCAACGTACCTTCACAGATCTACGCCGCCTACATTTCGGCGTTGTTCTTGCTACTCCCTCTTCTCTCGACGTTGGCGTTCGTAGTCGTTTTGATTTCGGTGTAAGATTCCGGCGACTAAAATCCGGTGGACTTCGCCGTAAACCGACATCGCGGTCAACGGCGGCAGTAATGTTGACGGAGAACCCCGTCTTCCGCGATATCTGGGCCACCGCGTTTTCAGGTGGAATCGCTCTCTCTTTTCTTCGATTGTGGGAAGAAACAGCAAAGAGAGGGCTCTTTGACCAGGTTGGTCTCTTATATTTCTAAACACCTCTCTCTCTCTCTCTCTCTGCAATTTTTTTCCTTAACGGGTAAAGTTAGCTAGAAATTCAGGCAGATGTGAAAAAGGAGGGAAATTTTAATCATTTTCTCTTTCTTTTCGGGAATAATAATAGAAAGGACAACAAAATGAAACCAGATTGCGTGTAGAATTTTCTGTTGTGGTAGACTTTTAATTTGATAGGCTTTGGTTTCGATTAGGGCCTGATTTCTGTTGTGTTTTCTGATGGAGTAGTCTTGTAATGTCCATACAGACTCCTCTCGACAGATAGTGGCATGTAAGGAGGATTCTTCAGCTTGCCTGGACAAAGCATCTGCAGCTGAATTTTTTGCTCCCTTTTGAAACACAATCTTATAATCATATATTGATTATAGCCTATTAGCTTGGTAACCCACTTTTGTTGCTTAAGTGAGAAAACACGGTGATCCATAAAAAATTTCGAACTTCTGCGATCTGTAAGAATTGTGAAGTGACGACCTAATAAATATGGTCGCCGTAAACACTGGCGAGCATGTCTTTATCATAGATCGAGAGATTTAAATTTTTGTCGGAAAGAGTTTTACTAACGAAGTCTAAGGGTTGCCCTTGCTGCGTCAGAATGACACCAATTCCAATCATGTAGTGAATTTTCTCGGGATCCACCAGAACCCCTTCTCCACAAAAAATATGGCCAAGATAGTCCATGGATGACTTGGCAAAAGAACACTTGGACTGTTTAACATATAGCTAATTATGACACAAGCATTGTAACACTAATGACAAATGGTCAATATGGTCTTGAACAGATTTGCCAAACCTCCTCAAATAAGGCCGAAATATATCATCATCAAGCTCCAAATGGTGGCTGGTGCTGTTATTAGAAAGCACTGGTGCATGAAGACGAATTTGATGATAATCAGAACGGAGATCCAATTTAAAGAAAATCACAACACCATGCTTCTCATCTAGAAGCACATCAATAACTAGAATGAGAAAGTGATCATTCACTGTAATACTGCTAAAGGGAGTGATATTCCACGCATAGACGTCAAGAATCATCTTTGTTTCACACTAGTAGCACTGGGGATGAATAAGGACTAACACTTGGTCAAATCAAGCCAACAACTAACATTTCTTTTAGTTTTCTCGATCTCATTTTTTTGAAAATAAGGATAACAGTGCAGTCGAGCATTAGTTGGAACACTACGTGGAATCAGTAGAATACGATGGGCTTGAGTACGTTTAAGAGGAGGTCCCTTTGGTCTTCGACCACATCCATAAAATAGTCAAGAATCCTGTTGAGTTATAGAAAAGTTTGCAGTCACCAATTGTAACAAGAATACACCATCAGTTTGGATCAACAATCTATGAAGTTCGTCTTGATCAACAACAGTGTTGATTGATGATCCGTTACCTACTAACTTGAACTCTTGACCATCCAAAATAAACTTCATAATTAATTTAGAAAAGTCCCAATTAATGGTGCATAAGAAACAAAGCCACAGAGCCCCAAGACAATATCACATCCACTCACCGATAATAAGAAAAAATCAAATTTAAATCAATAACCTTGCAATTATAGGCTAACTCCATCTCTCCGGCTCAGGATTTCTAGGAGAGATAGATGCTAGGAACCTCATTTGTGTGGGCTGCCACCTGCACACCTATATGTATGGTTATTTCTTAGATTTTTATTTTTTTCTCAGGCTTGGAATTTTTATCCTAAAATAGTTGGTGGATAGAAATTATGAATAATTGGGTCAGATTAGAAGTTTATTGAACCAAGAGTTATAATTGGTAAGGAGTCTAGTTCGGAGGTCTATTTCATTTATATCATCCAATAAATTGTTTTTGGCAGGAAGAATGTTAATAAAATTTGAAGGATGATTCCCCTTGCAGTGAATCCATTTTTCTTAGGATCCTTAGATCACATCAGCTTATTGTTGGAAGCTAGAGCTTGCAAAGCACTTATAAATGGGAAGTGTGCTTTGCAAAATTACACTATATTTAGATTTGCATGAAAGGCATCTATACTGGAAGTGGTTGAAAGAATACTAGACCACTTTCTGGAGTGTATGATAACTATACAACTAGAAAAGAAGAGTAGGCATCCATTTGTCATTTCTAATGCCTCTAAATATTGATTTAGGTCTTCTATCATTCGAGAAAACTCAAATTTGGGACATTATAGCAAGTTCAATAGTGTGGATAGAAATCTTTATGGTTGGTTTGGAGACCATGTGTTTTCTTTTCCATTACTACTGCTCGTTTGGTTTTTTGAGGTGGCAAATATTGTTGTTGATCCGCAATTTTTAATAATTGGTTCCTGGCATTTGGATGATGGTAAAGTTTTCGTAGAGTGCTTACACGAAATAAGAAACTGAGAGAATCAGTCAAAACTTGATTCTGACGATGATTAAATAACTTAATGTGGATAGCTTTTTTTGACATTCCAAAAATGAGGGAGAGATTCCATCGGAGGAACCATGTTAATGTCCTTCGCTTTTCTTGGTATTACTAATTATGGCATTTAGAGATTAATAATTCTAGTTGCACCTACTTTGCAAATATAATGCATTGCCTTGATAGTGCATTTCATTCATTGTTGAGACCCATTGCTGATCCAATAACCATAATTCATTAAGTACTCATATTATTTGCTTAAAATTAAGTCCTTATAGTAGGGAGATAGATGATATGACCGCTTCGATAGAACTCATTCTTGAACACCAGTTTGCAGCAGAAGGGTGCCCAAGAGTTCATATACGTATCTATGATTATATTTAATCGAGGTGGGACTATAACATTTCGTCATGCTTTTGTGGCCAACATTCATGGCGTCCCACTCTATCGTCATTGATCTAATGGTAAGTTTTCTCTTTGGTGGCTCCATTCTCCTATCAGGATTCAATGACTTAGCATGGTGGAAAGTTTTACCAATTGACATGAATCTAGGGGTATAACTCACTCTCAAAAATCAATTTTTAAGGAAAATCTTCTAAGAGTTAATATACACACATGTAAATCCATACTTAGCCGATGTGAGATCTTAACAACCAAAGATCCTTGATTTTAAGTGATCTAATCAACCGTTATCTCATGCTTGATGCCACAACACATTCTAACTCCATGGCTCTGTGTCAATGTGAAATGAAAAAAATTGAAGTCTATGACTATCATACTTATGACAATACCTAATTTTGTTGAAATGGACAATGGTTTTTTTTTTCCTTTGTCTTGACACATTGGGTTAGATATTCATTTCTGCAGTCATGATGTCATACCATATGTTAATTTTGTGTTTTGAGGGAAAAAGTTCTTGAATATGGCAAAATCTTCTCAAGGAAACCCTATAAGGAAAAAAGTGTCAAGGTTAGCTGGATGGTGCATACACTTCAGCAGTCTATCGGACATCAAAATGATTTCATCTATGTGAGAGTGGTGATGGTTTTTGTCATTTCAACTATGAATAGAAGATTTCAATTTGTGGTTGCTGTCTCCATGTCTTCATTTGTCATGCAATTGCAATTAGGGATGGCGGTGTCTTGAGAACATGATTCTTAATTACGTGAAGGCTGTTGATCCCTCAAAGATCTATAGATGCATGTTAGTGTGTGTTGTGGCATAAAATGGAAGTTTATGTACCCTTGATTTGACGATGACTGTCATTTTTAGCACGAGAAAGATTGGCAGTGGTCTTTATGGTTTCGGGCGACCTCACCAGGAGTGTATTTTAGTGTTTTGAGGTGGCAAAAATCTCTTGTTGGTGACTGGACACCACATCTCGACCAGCTCGTCACAATGGAGTGAAGGCCTCTTCAGTGCGAAATCCTAACATGAATACAAAGAATTTGGTGGGTATTTCAAAGGAACCCAAAGGCGTTCTCTATGAAATCCTATGGTCATGTCTTTCTCCTAAGGACTATAGAACTATCTCTGGCACAAATTAAGCCGTCAAACTACCGACTATATAAGCTTCTAAGTGCTATATTCTCTCTGTTTAACACGTGGAAGTGTTGATTGGGCTAATAAAGAAAGTAAAATATTTTGTCAATCCTTGTTTCTAGCAATGGCTTTGAGTTTATAGGTCAATTATGGGTTTTTGCCCTTTTTTGACATGAGGAAGATATCCATGTATGGTATTGTGTAATTGGTTTCATTGTCATATGTTAAATCGTGGCACTAAAATTGATTCTTAGTTCGCTGAGATGTTTACTTTTAAACCTCATGTCGCGACAAATTTCTGGTTAGTGAAACAGTTGATCTAGCATAAAAAGGTAAACCTGATTCTGGCAATGATGCTGGATCTGATAACTTGGAGGATTGGTTTTTTTTTTTTTTTTTTTTGCTTTTTTAGCATGACAAATAACAAATTATTTTGTCCCTATTTTATGCGAGCAATGAAAATGTCGATATTTACATTAATAAATATCACTACCTGCATCAAGAATTAGTAAGGTTTAGGGTTTCCATGTTATGCAGCATCTTTATGCAGCTTGGTGAGGGTTAAGGACAACAGATAACACCACACAAGGGGTCCTAGCATTCGTCGTGCACCAAAAGCAAAATTGCTCGATTGAACACAAGAAAACCATGTGTGTCTGCATAAATTCTCTCCCATGCTAGAAACAACAGAAATCTATATCAACATACCAAGGTGAATTGTTGTGTTTTGAGTTTGCTAGGATCACTAATTTTAGGTATATTGTCTCTTGATTTCACATATGGCCACAACTAGTTGGCCTGTGCAAAGAATATCATGTGTAGGAAAAAACCGAAACAGTTTGTTGATTCATGATTCTGGCTGTAATATCAGTTCTTGTTGATATGGATGCTTGGGTTTTTACTGGATGTGAAAGTTATTTGTATACAGGCAGTCGTGTTCATGTTTTTGATCTATCATGGTCTTAGTGAATTTGATTTCTAAGGTGGTGAGAATCTGTAGGTTGGCACATCAGCGCATATCAGTTTTTTGTGTGACAGCTGGTGCCAAGTCCAAGTGGTTTTTCTATGGTTGCTCACTGCAGCATTTATTTGTTTGTGTTTCCTGTATTGAACCATCGCCTGGCCATTGATCTTTTAAAATCATGCCCAAGACAGAGCCTGCGAGTTCATGCAAATTGGAGCTACACCAAAAGGTCTTACAATTTTCCAGTGTTGTCTATCAACTTGAATTCAGGATGGATTTTCTTTCTTTCAACTGGTGGAAATGTGACAAATTTGTGTGTCCTTATAATATACTTACTGTACTCAAGTGCCAGTGATTTGAACATTTCTTTTACCTTAGCTCATGTATAATTATTTCTCATTATATAAATATTTGTGTTTTCAGAAACTTAATAGGAAGCTTGTTCATATAAGCATTGGGCTAGTTTTCATGCTTTGCTGGCCTCTGTTCAGGTAATTTTACACGACTAATTAATGAAACTGTTCATTCTGTCTTATGACTTCTGATATTTTAGCTACTAATGATGTCACAGTTCTGGTCATCAAGCAGCAGTTCTAGCCGCTCTTATCCCTGGGATTAATATAGTTAAGATGCTTCTTTTGGGACTAGGAATATGGAAAGATGAGGGCACTGTCAAGTCAATGAGCAGATTCGGAGACTACAGGTACAACTACAGAATAATAATTGATTTAGTAAGCCCGCATGTATCTGTCATAAGCCCTCAATATCTTACATGTGGCTGTTCCTCGGACGTATAATCCCAGTCAAAGAGAACCCCATTGCGGTTGAATGACCAGCGGTGACACTGATTATCTGGTCAACTGTTTAGTTCATTTCATTTAATTTCCATAATAATGCAATAGAAGGAAGGAATAAGATAGTTCCCAAAAACATCTAGGTTTGCTGTTCAACTTCAGAAAGTGTCACCCTAGTTGGGAGTGTAAATGAATAAAGCTGTTGATGAGCAATTAAGGTTCCATCGGCTCATTGAGAGCTTGTTAATAATTAAGCCATCAATCGTGAAGCATTTGTTGATAAGATTTATTGCTTACAAGCCAAGCTTGAAAACAACCAACAAAGCAAGGTCCCCTGCCTCCAACAAAAACAAAAAAAGGAAGAAAATTCGTAGTTATTTATCCATTTAAAATTATATTGCTTCTCAATCTGTCCAGCTTACTCCATGCATCAGGGAGCTTCTCAAGGGACCTCTATACTATGCTTCCACAATCACTTTGGCCTGTGTAATCTATTGGAGAACTTCCCCTATTGCAATTGCAGCAATTTGCAACCTCTGTGCTGGAGATGGTACTGTTTATTAAGGCAATTTGTGTGTGAGTTTGATCACTTGATCGTGCTAGGACTTTTTGTCAATTCAACGATTTCCATTTCAGATGCAAATGGAGTAAACACAAAAGACTTGCTTGGGATATTCAACAGACTAGAAATACCCTGTTGCCAAGAGTCATGGCTAATTGAAATTACCTGTATCAGGTTTAGCTGACATTGTGGGAAGGCGGTTTGGAAGCAAGAAACTCCCCTACAACAGAAACAAATCCATTGCAGGTAGTCTTGCGATGGCAGCGGCTGGTTTCATTTCTTCTGTCGGGTAACTTCCACTTTACCTCTTATGAGCATCTGTGGAAAGCCTGATAGATTTTGGCTGATATAAACTGTGTTGTGACAGGTATATGCACTATTTCTCCTCATTTGGGTACGTTGATGAAAGTTGGGAAATGGTTTTGGGTTTCTTGGTTGTGTCTCTTGCCTCAGCACTGGTAGAATCCCATCCACTGAGTACTGAGATTGATGACAATCTCACAGTTCCCCTTACTACTCTGTTGGTGGGTTATTTTGTTTTCTAATCTCTGGGTGTATTCAACACATTGTGTATCAAAATGGAATCTTAGAACAAAGATCAATTCGGGTGGTACCCAACTGTTGTTGTTCTTAAGGCTAAATATAAATGTCTGGCAAAAAGGGGAAAAAAAGCCACTTTTAGAAGTAAGAATGCAATTTCTTTTTGTTTGCATGTGTCGTAAGATTTCCGGAAAACTGGAGCCAGACGCCATTCTTTAGCGGAATTAAAACACAGTACAATGAGATTGCCATAGCGATGTAGGCATCGGTAATTCTTATACCAAATCAGGTGAAGTTATATGATTAGTTTTGAGAATGAGACTACCCAACCTAGAGTGCGTTTAATGCTTCGATCAATCATGTAACTGAAGAGGATGTCCAAGTCAGTAGATTTTCTTTGTTTTGAACTGAAACGATCTTCACAATTATATTTAGCAGTGGGAATCAAATTGAAGAGGAGCAGCCAAAATCCGCTACTCCAAACATTACATTATAACACTTGATAATGCTAACATGATACCATTGTTACATTAAATATTTTCTTGTGCCAAGGGGAGGGGTAGGGTGGTCAGCATATTT